AGACTAAAAATTTCTTAACGAATGGCCTCGGAAGGGAGTTCTGGTATGGGTAGGAGTTTAGAGATTGTGAGGGTGGACGAGCCTATTGTGGCGACCTCCTCAGAAATAGCTGGGGCCATAATGGGAGGGAAAACATGTGGAAGCGACCGGATAGCCCTCCGGATACTTCTGTGCACTGGGGGGCATCGGACTACCCATCAAAGTTGAGGGAGGCCGACCTTGGTAGACTTAGGACAGAATATAGGATCCCGAACAGTGTGGACCTGATTCTCCCAGGGCCAGAAGAGAGAGCTTGTTACCTAAGGCCGGGCTGCGTGGCCATTAGCGAGGCGATCCTTAGGGCCGGACTTAGGCTGCCTATTCACCCGTTCTTTAGGTTGGTGCTTAGGTCTTACGGGCTAGCCCCGACGCAGCTCAATCCGAACTCCTGGAGCCAGATGGTGGGCTCCTGGATGTTGTGGAAAGAGGCGTCGTTAGGAGTGGAGATGCCCCTTTCCGTTTTCCAAACTCTTTACATACCCAAGGTTACTGTCGGGGGGGATAAGACCCGGGGCTGGTACTACCTGACGTCGTGGGGTTCCCACACTCCATTTGTGATCGATCTGCCGAGCTCCATCAAGGAATGGAAGAGCTCTTGGTGCTGGGTAGCGGGGCGATGGGACACAATGGAGGGGGACCCCCTGGCGCCTCTTACAGTCCCGGCGAAGTTTTCAACACTTAGTGAGTATAGTAGTTGATATTTTATTTCTCTTCGGTCGGGCTTGTGTTTAACAGATGTTTCTTTTCGCAGGTTCCCTCCCTCGGTGCGAGCTGTTGACAGAGGACTTCGACATTATTTGCGTTATTTATCAACTGCCTCAGAAGAAGAGGTCATATCACAGGCTCATTCGGAAAAACATACACTTCGTCACTCACGACTTAATGGCGTCCCAAGGTAATAGGACCGAAGCCCACACTCTTTTAACCTGAACTCCCTACACTTGTATTAATTCCTCATTCGTTTCTTTGCAGATAACTTCAAGAAGAAGCTGCCAGTACGCCCTGACTTCAAAACTATTCAGAAAATGATGGCTGAAGCAAGGGCACTGAAGGCCTCCTCCTCTTCATATAAGAAGCAAATGGAGGAGCTGGTGGGGGCCAGTAAGAGACTTCTGCCTCCGACGGAGGAGGAGGTTCAGGAAGATCCGGAGGCCGACCTCCGAAGGAAGGGCAAGAAAAGTGCTGCCCCTCCCAGACGCCCAACCGTGGCGAGGCCACCCCCAGTTATGCGGCAGACAACTATTCCCACTGGGGTGGCCCTCCCAGAGAGAAACCCCACTGCTGCGGAGCCTGTCGCTGCCCAGGACACGGCGCCCCTCGCGGCCGTACCTATTGAACATGTTCCGGGGCAGCAGAGGAGGAAAAGGGCCCGCTCCAGCAAAGAAGTTGACTTCCTCGGCACCAGTTCAGAAGAGCCAGTAAGGGAGGTGCTGGAGGCTCTCCCTCCGGAAACAGCTGGGGTGGCGGTGGTCCACAGCCAGTATTGGACCGAAGAGTGGAGGGACCACACCGCCTCCTGCACTGCTGAAGACTTGGTGGCGGTGAACAGCGCCTGCGTGGCCCGAGCACTAAGCACAAGTATCCAACTCGAGGGCTTGGTGAAGGATCTAAACTCCAAGAGGGAGGACCTCGCCAAGCGTCTCGAGGAGGCGATGCATTACGGGGACGCTGTGCGAGCTGCCCAGGCCAAAGCTGCCAAGGCAGAAGAGGAAAAGAGAGCTGCTGAGGTCCAGCTCGCTGCTTCGCAGGCGGAGGTGGAGCGGCTGAAAAAAGAGCTCTATGAGGTGGAGTGCCAGGTGGCTGTGGTGACTCGGCGGCTTGACCACGCTAATGAGCACCACAAGCTTGCCACTGATGCCCTGGAGGCCTCCAACAGAGAAAAAGCGGAGCTGAAGCAGCAAGCAGAGGCCCAGTCAGTGGAGATTGCCTCTCTGAGGGAGGAGTTAAAGTCAGCGGGGGAGGTGGCGATTCAAAATTTTATTGATCACTTCGAGGACCACCCCCTTTATGACGACTTCGCCAACTTCTGGGCCTCGTGGAGTGCCCAGAGCCTATTGGGTCGGCTGAAGGAGGTGCACCTCACACTGGACATCTCTCAACTAGAGGCTGAGTTCGGGGGACCCACTGGAGGTCGGCCTGACAAGGTTACCGAGGAGGTTCCAGAAGCCCAGGAGGCGGCCAGTGCTGAAGTTCCTCCCACAGATTAGGGTTTCCTTTGTAATGGCTTCGGCCCCCATGTACTTCAATTTCATGAAATGGAAAATTTTGTTAAATTTCTTTTTCAAGTTCTTTCGCTTCTGCTTCTTTGTATCTCTTTTTGTTTTATACTTGTATGAATGACAAACATTAGGCCGACTGCCTCGTGACAATGACCAGTTAACAATTGTGAATCGGTCTCCTTAAGCGAAAACAAGTCAACACTTAAGTGGGTCGGAAGTGACCCCTTCCTCCCCTCCTCGGGGAGGTGGATCTGCGGGGGTGCTCATTTCTGCCGGATGTGAGGGGATTGCTTCGATCAGGGCGCCGGTTGACATCCCGACACTCACTGGTGTCATGCCCATATAGTTGATGGAAAGTACAAAATCTTGCTCCTGGCAAGGGCCTATTGGGCCTCTTCTTCTTCTTTTTGTTGTCAGTCCTTCCGGATGGTGCTGCCTCAGTGGGTGCACTATCATATGCCAATATCGGCACTGCGTTCAACGTGGCGGAAGACAACTGATTTAGTTATGACGACCTAGGATCAAATCGGAACATTCTTGTTACTGGTAATATTTTCTCAAGTGCTCTATGTTCCACTTGTGAGGTAACACCCTTCCAGACATATCTTCGAACTCGAAAGTACCAGGTCGGGATTCTCCCCGAATGCGGTACGGGCCTTCCCAGTTTGGGCTAAAAACTCCTGACCCGGTTGGTTTCGAAGATTGGAACACCCTTTTGAGAACAAGGTCGCCCAAGCGGAGAGTTCTGTTTCTAACCTTGGAGTTGTAAAAGCGGGTCATCTTACGATGGTATTTCGCTAAGGTTATCTGGGAAGCGTCTCTCTTCTCCTCAAGGAGGTGTAGTTCACTTATGCGCGCCTCATCGTTGCTGATCTCATTGAAATGTATCCGTCGATGTGATGGGACACCGACCTCGACCGGACTCATCGCTTCAGCTCCGTAGGTCATTGAAAATGGGGTCTCACCCGTTGCGGTTCGGCAAGTCGTTCTGATGGCCCAGAGGACGTGGGGGAGTTCGTCAACCCATGCGCCTTTTGAGGCATCCAGTTTCCTTTTCAGGGTGTGCTTGATAGTCTTGTTCACTGCTTCGACCTGTCCATTTGCCTGAGGGTGATGCGGAGTCGAGAAGTCTTTCTTTATGCCTAGTTCGTCGCATAACTCTCGCATCTTCCTGTTGTCGAACTGCCGCCCATTATCAGAGACAATGGAGTGAGGGATGCCGAACCTGCAGATGACGTTTTTCCAAACGAACTTCGTAGTGTTGGCTTCGGTGATTCGGGCAAGGGGTTCTGCCTCGACCCACTTAGTGAAGTAGTCGATGGCGACAATGGCAAAAGTTGCGCTCCCTCTACCCTTTGGTAGCGGACCAATGAAGTCGATGCCCCACTTGGCGAACGGCCAAGGGCTGGTCACTATGGAGAGGCTCTGCGCAGGCAGTCTTTGTACGTTCGAGAAGCGCTGGCATTTGTCACATTTCTGGACAAATTGGCAAGCATCCCTTTTCAGGGTTGGCCAGAAGTAGCCCTGACGGAGGACCTTGTGTGCCAGAGCCGTCCCTCCTGAGTGATTTCCGCAGATCCCTTCATGTATTTCTCTGAGTACGTAGGTGGCCTCTTCGCCGCCCACACATCGAAGAAGGGGAGAGGCAAAGCCTCTCTTGTAAAGGGTTCCTTCGTGAAGGACGAAGTGTGCGGCCCTTCTTCTTAACTTCCTTGCTTCACTTCTGGAAGCAGGCAGCGTTTGCTCTTTTAGATACGCCATTATGGGCTGTGTCCACAATGGGGTGACTTCTATCCACAGCAACTCCTCACCTTCGAAGGTGGAGGGCTTTGATAAGTGCTCAACGGGGACGATGTTCAGAAGCTCTGAGTTCACGCTGCTGGCCAATTTTGAGAGGGCATCTGCATGAGCATTCTCCAGACGAGGGACTTGAGTCAGTTCGAATTTTTCGAAATGGGGAATTATGTCCAGAACCAGCTTCAAGTATGCGAGCATGTTATCATCTTTGGCCGCGAAATCCCCATTTACTTGATTCACCACGAGCTGAGAATCACTGCTTGCCAGAAGCTTCCTG